GTATTTGAACGTTTTGAAATAATGATGAAGAGGAGGTTGATACAAAAAAGATAGGGACCTACAAATAAATAATAATAATAATAATAATAAAGAAAGAGAAAGCAAAATAAGGGGGGAAAAAGAAGAAAGGGATAGGAAGATGATTTTCGTAAAAAGTGCAAGGAAACTTTAGAAAGGGAGAGAAATAGAGAGGGAGGGAGGGTTTGATTCATTCACTTTATTGTAAGAAGAGATTTTATTGGAGAACACAAAAGCCTCTTTTTTTTATTTTAAATATCTTTTAAGAAAAACAAAAAACAAAAGAAAACAAAAGGCTTTTAGGAATGATGAGACCAATGAGACGGTTAGTGAAAGCTGTGAGTGTTTGTTGTAAGATTAAAGGCTCAAAACATCATCGCCTCCTTTTCCTTCACTTTGACTGCCACTATGTCTCCCTTCTCCAACCCCAAACACATTATCCTCTAACTTTGATTTTATATTTTGTTTTCGTTTTAAATTTAGAAACTAGATAATTAACTTTTATTAGTTAAAAACTTAGTTAAATTAATTATTTATAAAAAAATGTGTATTGATTTTCTTAACATCTCTTTTTTAATTATTTATGTTGGAAAATACTCCTTTGATAAAAGATTCTTTTAATATGCATAACAAATAAGAAGATTTTAGAGGGAAAAAATTATAAATTTGAAAAATAAAATCCAAAACAAATTACTAACTCTCATATTTTAGATTGAAAGAAACCATTTAGAGTTTTTTTTGAATTCCTAAAAGTGTGTGTTGCACAATTTTTTTAATCTTTTCTTTCCTTTCATCCTCTTCTATCTCCTAATCCGCAGAATGCTAGTGATAAAATTTCTACTTGAAGTGTTTCTATAAAATATTTAAATTGCAAATAGATTTATCTAATTACAATTTCCCAGCTAGCTCCTAACCTCTTAGTATTAAAGAATTTTTTTATCTGGCAACAAAAATTAGGGGATATTTTTAGAAAGAAATACCCCATTGCTCACTAAACAGAACTTTAGATGGTTTTCACAAAAAATGTAACTATGGTTAGGAGAGGAGTTTTTGTTTTGTTTCCTTATTCTTGACCATCTGTACTGGCCCAAATTGGCAATATTATACACTTTTATCAGAAGATATTGTTTGCTTTAGATCACTCATGCCTTGCCTACCACTCTTTTTTTGCCACTTTTCTTTCAATAATAAGAGAAAAGAAGGGAAAAGGTCGTACACCAATTGGTGGGGAAAAGTATAAATCTTAGAAGTATAGGGGCAAAAATAAAATGAATTCAAAGTTCCTAGAGTAGGCATGTGCTTGTTTCCTAATTTAATGGGAAAAATACTCATTTTCCCCCCCTCCATTAACAAAATTTTAGGAAAGGGTAGGGTTCACTTACTATTTAAGGGCAGAAAAACTAACTCATGATCTACTGGAACCTGTTCCTACAGACACGAGGGCATGATAAGCAAATTTTTTTTTTCCCCATCTAGCCCCACAGGTAGGAATAGAATATGCCTCTCCTAATATTTCGACTAATTCTAGGATCGAACCCTATCCATGTTATGAGAGTGTTTGAACCCTTTCCTAGCTGAATCCAAGAACGAGGGACAGAAATATTCATATTTAATACTCAATAATACTTCAAATAAGATTAACTCAAAGATATCTGTGCCTAAAAAAATTAGAAGCACCATAATTGCCGCAAGAAAAGGAGCAAAAATTTATGAAGTACTTAAACTAAGGAAAGAAAAAGAAAAAAAAAAAGAAGGAAAAATCTGACAACACAAAGTAAAGTGTACAAGAGGCTGCAAAAGTGAAACCTCTGAAGAATCACTTTTTTTTTTTTCCTTTTTAAGTTTAACGTAATTGATTAATTAATAATTAGAGACAAGTTTGCACTTTGCAGAGTTCAATATAAGCATATGTGCCTTATTTTTTCTCGGTGGTCAATGAAATTAAAGTTTAGACATTTCTTTTATAATAAAAGCTGCACTTTGTCATTTTTCTGTGTAGAGTAACTTAGTCTGATATTAGTGTTCATCTTTTTCGTACAAACATTTTTTATTAGGAATCCAGTTATTATATATAAGAAAAAGTTCTAATTTGTGTTGTTAACTTTAATAATTTAGTTATTTTATATGTTTTCAGAACTTATATTTAGTTCACATTATTTTTTTTCCCAAAATAAAAGACAGCCTTTCAGCTTTGATTTCAATTAAGTTCAGTGAATATGTTTCACTATATTTGTATATTGAATTACATCAAGAAGGGTCTATTTATGTTTGTAAGTAGTCAATCTTTCACCTTGCAGTAGCTAATGAACTTCTTTTTAATGATTACTCCACAACAAGTTCAATAAATCATTAATGTAAAAAAATAAATACTAATTTCAATACTAGTCATGAATAATATAACTAATTTCGAGCTTCATACAAAATATTACACCCATTTTGTCAATAATTGAAACTGAAGGACGGATGAATATTTTGAATAAACACATTATAGTATATGAATTTAGTACAACTTCTAATTGTTAGTATAATTTTATGGACAAGTTTTATGGATTGTCATAGTTTGATGTTTCCAAACACGTCATAACATTTTATTGAGAAGGCTTTCATGATATTATACTTTCTCTGCTATTAAATGTATGAACTAATTGAGAAACTTACCTTAATCCTAAGCATAAGACTCTGATTAATTTTGTCTTATAAATTTGTATAAAGTTTTTTCCCCCCAAATCATCTCTATTGTTGTTACATATTAAAAAGGGATTTTCATATGGAATAGCTTTCATAGCAAATAATTAAAGAGATACCTTTAGAAAATCAAATCAACTCAAATAATTTTCTCAATTTCTGTAAATTAGTAGTCTAACTCTTATATTTAACATGTGAAAGAGTAATTTATATGGACTGTGCAGAAGCAATCAAACTTCTTACAAAAATATGTGTGTGTGTGTGTGTGTTGTTTTTTTTTTTAAATATGAGTGAACAATAATGCATGTAGTGGCATGATTGGTCACTGGAGGTTCTGCAGTTTATGTGGTTAATGAGAAAATGAAACATGATGAGTAAGTGGCTTTCTTCCTCATCATGCAATTACTGTGTAGTCACAGAATCCATATATTACTATTGTTATTATTGAACCACTAACTAATAATGTCCAATTTATGCATCATTGCTTTCATAAATATTTTTTGCTTTTATCATTCATCTATTCAGAAAAATAGCTCCAACTTTCTGAAAAAGTTATTCACCCGAGTAAGAATTCATTATTTAGGCCAAAAAAAAAAAAAGAACAAGAACAAGAACAAGAAGAACAATCATGAGGAAGAATCTCGCTCGTTACTGTCAAAATTTTTTTGATCATAATGAGAATGAGAAAGGTGTCGATTTTTCATTTAAAGAAAGTTTGTGACACAGCTCTCATTGGTAATGTTGATACACGCACACACGTACATGTTGTCGTGTTGGAAATTGTTTTGGCTTTGTCATTTCAAAGATTTTTTTTTTGCCCTGCTTAAGTGCGAAAAGAAATCAAGTACTAGTCTGGGGTTACTTAATATAAGCACTTTAAATAAGACACGGCAAATTTTTTTCACATATTTATTTTGTATTTTGAAAATTGTACTTGAAAAACTGCCTTTGAAGCCTCTAGTCATAATTCCAAACAAAATATTTGGTAACTACTTTTATGTCACACTACTCTAATGTTTTAAAGTATATTTCGGTGGTTGAAATTTGGGTTTGGATCTAATAATGTTTTTTCGAATGTCCCATCTTTTTAATTCTTTTTACTATTAGTTTATACATAAAAACAAGACATATTATGATACGATTATGAAATTTAATAGTTTTGCATATTTTATGATTTTTTTTAAAAAATATCAGTTCTTTTTTAAGGACCTTTTTCGCTGTATGCGTTTCTTCACTCCTAAAGGATCACGTTCAGAAGAATTGTTTCCAGGTCGTTCTTCAAGAAAAAAAAATTGTAATAAATGAGCTGAATCATAAAATGGAACTGTGAGGTGTGGAATGTTATGGTATTTAGATGGGGGAAGATGTTGGTTTGTCTGCAGCGAGGATTTTATGCGGAATCATTCTTCTTTGGTGAAAGTCTTGTAAGTGAGAAGTTATGGGTTTAATTTTTACTCTTTTGTTTTTATATATATTTTATCATTTGGCTAATCTGATTCAGGATCTGTGACTTCCCTTCTCTGTAAAGGTGTCTCATTTGAGACTCGGTCTGTTCCTACCTAAATCTAATAACTCTTAATCTGCAGGGAAGATTTTACATAAAAGGCTTTGTAAACCTAGTGGGATGGATTCTCCTTTGCAAGTGGAAAACCACGGTTTCAATCTGATTTGCAACCTTAAGCAATTTGTGTATGTTTTTGGGTCTGTTCATACTCAAATATAGGCCCAATCCACACCCTGCATAAAAAAACTGGGTTAACCTGCATACATGGGCTCACTCCAGTTTGACAATACAGGGGTGTTTTTTCCAACTGGAAAATCAAGAGTTATGTGGGCATTTGATTGAAGTATTTTATATTTTTCTCACATCATATTTGTCAAGATATATATAAAATTAAATTGCTCAAAATACATGTAAAGTTTTTTTAAAAACATTTTTAATAATTAATTATATAAGACATAAATAGAGATTTTCATTTTTTTTTTCAACAAAGAAGTTTTGACATGCTTTGTATAGTTGTTTACTGATGATTAAAAAAAAAAAAACATTTAATTTTCATGTTTGAATATCTTGAATAATTTTTCTTTCGGTTTGAAACGGCTACTTCCATTAAATATAAAACAGAGCAAACATAATCTCGAAAAAGAAGGGGGAATAAGAAGCAAGATACATAGCATGCAAAAATACAGAAGCATAATTTTAGCATTAATGAACATGTTTCCAAACGTGTCCTATATTAGTTGCATGCAACGTTAGCATGAAACCATATAAATCAGATAAATGAACAAGGATAAACTTTTGATGAAACGTAAATAATACCTTAGGCCTTCTTAAATGTTACATTCCATTACATTACAGTAACTCTTGACCTCAGAGATCTTTCTAGTCCCCAACCAAAGGAGGAAAAAAAAAAAAAACCTCAGATCCATTAATGCTAAAAAGACATGTTGAAGATACCCTTTTTCCTCTCTCTTTCAGGACCAAGCAAAAGTAATCGGAAAAATCTACAGATGAATAAATAAACTGACCAAAATTCATACCGTAGTTGGCACAATTATTATGAAGTGAAAAATATGAAGGGTCGTTTGGTCAAAATCAAAATATATAAAAAGAAATCAAGATTTCTTTGTGTGACCGTTGGTTAAAAAAATATATGAAAAAAAATAAAATTGAAGACTTCTTTCTTTGGGTCCTTTCCTGGAAAATGAATGTGACCGCCTACTTCCCAAACCGCCATCACCACTTCTCTCATGCAGCTTTAAAACTCTCTGACAATCGTTGATAGTATAGCTTTTGCTGCTCAAACGGGGAAAAAAAATCAGTATCTAAGCTAAAAAATATAAACTATTCTCGTATCATGTTGCATTTAGAGAGGGGGGGGGGGATTCAACTGATGACAATTCATCTTACCATGTCTGACACTGATGGAGAGATTTTTCTCAATGCCATCTCAAAATGGCTGAACTTGATGGTCGATGCGTTGCAAGTGCTCTCTGTTGTCCATTTCTCTTCAGCTGCAGCCACTGCTGCTTCGTTCATCTGCATGTTAATGATAGTCAGCAAACTCCCTAGATTAATTCCCACATTTTTCTCAGCGCGCATGTGCGCACACAGAGAGCACAATGGCATTATTAAGCAGGATTTTTTTATTAATAATTTATCCAAAACTTTAGTTGTTGATAAAACATAATGACATAATATGATTCATATAGATGACCCCGCTTAATAGGATAAGACTTCTTGTTATTGTTGTTGCACACGTGTAAATGCATGCAAGTCCGTGACTGAGAATGTGCGCACACGTGCAAGTACACATGTGCATGATAGACCCACACGCAATGTGCTAAGACGAAAGGCATGGACGCTTTTAAGAAACATTTCATGTCAGCTTTTAGCTGGGATAAGCATGAACATGAAAGTGCAGACATACCACTGCAGCAAGATCAGCACCGCTGAGGTTTTCACAAGCTTCCATTCTTCCAATGGCACACAAATCCACAGTTTCATCAATTGGCTTCTTCCTTGCAAGAGCTTTTAAGATCAGACCTCGCTCATCAGGGCTTGGAAGAGGAACATAGAGAAGTTTGCCAAGCCGACCGGGCCGAAGGAGAGCACGGTCCATCACCTCAGGTCTGCATAAGAGAAACTTAAAACACTTATTTGGTAAATAGAATTATTTGGTATAGAGATAGAAAGGAAATGAGGATGTAAATGAAAATAATTTGTATTTTTACTAGAAAAATAATTGAAAAAAGAGAGACATAAATAAATTAAACAACTAAAATAAGAAGAAAAAAACATTACTTTAAAAAAGTAGTAATATTGTTCTTTGTGCTTTCATTTTCTAATTCCTTTTCGTTCAACCATCCAAGTGGGTTTTAAATGAAATGTGATGGAATATATTAACATAACTTATTAGATATGGAGGACAACTTACCTATTTGTAGCACCAATAACAAAAACACCTTGCCTTTGCTCTGCACCGTCTAATTCAATAAGCAACTGCAATTGCAATTAATTGTCAATTTAATATCCTCGCTGAAAGAAAGATTTTCCAATATAACATGGCAGCATTAAATTCTTTTTTTCCAAAGATTCCAAGAAATTTTACATTTAAAAAAAAAAAAGAATCAAAAAACTATTTGACCTGGTTTAATAGCCGTTCAACAACCCATCCACCTTCTTTACCCCGTTTAGTCGTCAAAGCATCCACCTAAAGATGATTCGAAACATAGCAAAGATGAGCCTTACACATCGCAGATAGATTAAAAGGTTACTTTTCTAGAACAAATTCAGTTTAATTAGAAAACACATCGTATATTCTCTTTCTAGGCCAAGAAGAAAACTAACAAAGAATAAATACATAAGCCTTCTGCATTTTTGACTTGCTGAGAAGGGTATACAATATATTTGCCAAGGACCAGGATCTAGAGAGAAAAGACAACAAAAAGGCTTGCAATTGTGGTAGTACGGTGTAATTCTTCAAATTAAAAAAGAAAAGTCCATACAGACATCTTTGCCATTTGAACAGTTGGTGGTAAATGTGAACCTATCCTCAAGTTCACTTTTCTTGAAGTGATAATGGTGCTTTTCCTGATCCGAACCAGATCTCTTTTCTTATCTTTTTTCAAAAAATTGATTTCATTTTTTAAAAACTTTTAAAAGAAGCGGATTGCAGAATGAAGATAGACCTCTAAAAGCTGACTTAAAAATGATGATCTAAATTTAAAAAAAAAAAAAATTAAAAATCCAGACCATCCAGAGTTGAAATGTTCCTCTACTGCTCCCCTCAGAAGGACGGAAAATGGGTTCATAATAAACATTATTCAAAGGTGAGGGTCACCTACCTCATCAAAGAAAAGAATGCAAGGCGAACATGTTCTTGCACGACTAAATAATGTCCGTACTGCCAGCTCACTTTCTCCAACGTATTTATTTAAGAGTTCAGGGCCCTGTCACGGAAGCGATTGAAACAATTCATCAAGATACATTATTTCAGACAGAGGAGAATCCCGTAAAACTCAAGTACTAAATCGGAATTGGAGAGATAGTGGTGCTATAGTTGGACAGACCTTGATATGAATAAAATTAGCTCCTGCTTCATGGGCAACAGCTTTGGCTATCAGCGTTTTACCACACCCAGGTGGTCCATAAAGCAAAAATCCGGTCTCAAGATTCACCCCAAATTCCTGAAAAATATGATTGCAAGAAATTAACTATCCTGTGAAATGTGCAGCCTACAATGAACTCCATGAAATGGCATGAAAGAGAAGAAATTCACACATAATATTTGTATAATCTCAAGTACTAAGTACCTATTTCAATTCCTAATTATTTGCATTTTAAACAATCTATCTCATTCCAATTTCACACTGAACTTTTGATATATGTTTATCCTATTACTAATTGAAGGATTAGTAAAGTGAAGCTCTGAAAGAGGAAAGGAAGACAATGTGAATTATTAAGCGGTCATACAATCAGTGTTTTATAAACACTATTACTTGCTTATGGAAGCTCATATCACAGAAAATAACTAGCCCAAAGTCTTACGGTGGAAAAGACAGATAAAACTAATATCATCCTAAAGGGGAAAAAAGTACATAAAGTTCCTCTGCTCAAAGCTGCTTAATTCACAAATTTATATTAACCTAATCAATGCAACAATTTAATAGGATGGTTTCAGTTATAAACTACCTCATAATCCTCTGGATATTTTATGCGTCTAACTATATAACGCTCAAACTCTCGTCTTAGAAGATCAAGCCCACCAATATCTTCCCATTTTACATTAGGAATGGAAGAAAATCCTTCTCTTCTTGATGAAGGTTGCACCAACTTAACTGCTTCCTGCAAAAATACCCAGATGAATATAGTGCTTTCCATAATCTTCACAGATATGCCATTAAGGAAAATCTTTATCAGCATCAATGGTTAATGCATTGAAACTGGAAAGGGAAAAGAAACATTGGCATGGAAAATCTGAAAAAAAAAGAGTAAACTTATTTTGATCAAACAGCTGATATATTGTTCACAACCACAAACAAATGGAAACATGCAAAGACATCCAGTGAAAGAATCCTGACTATAACAATTGGTATTAACAAATAGATAAATCTAACACACCTCAAAATCAGACATTTCGATCAGAAGCTTATCCATCTCTTCAGGTGACCAAGGTTCCCTCCACCATTCTTCAGAACGCTCATCTAAAGGATCTTGGGATAACTCACATTTCCTTTCAACAATAATTCTTCTCATTGCCAGGTTACCTGCCTTGTTAACCAGAGCTGCTAAATCTGCTCCAACAAAACCTGGTGTAGACCTGGCTATTTTCCTAAGATCAAAGGAGCCCTCTAGTTTTAGATTGCGAGTAAGCACAAACAAGATCTCCTCCCTCCCATGTTCATCAGGAACACCAAGGACAATTTCACGATCAAACCGCCCAGGCCTTCTTAGGGCAGGGTCAACAGCATCAGGCCTATTTGTAGCTCCAATAACAAGAATATAGCCAGGATGGGCATCAGAACTTTCTGAACTATCAGCTGGTTGAAGAAGCCTGTTTGATTGATCCATCGAAGTCATTAATTGGGTCACAATTCGTTTCTCCATCTCACGCTGTAAATTCTCTCTTTTTGAAGCAATTGCATCAATCTCATCAATAAAGACAATTGATGGGGCGGTCCTATATGCTTTAGAGAAAAGCTCTCTAATATTTTCTTCTGATGCTCCTAAAGAATTTACACGCCAAATGAGTAGTTAAAAGAATCAAAGAAATTAGTTTAACAAACAAAATTGCTAGTTAAATCAATTCAACTTTTCATAATAATATACCTTATTTTATTGATTAAGTTGCAATTATACTCATCCTAAAATATTATTTTGCGTTTATTTTCAAACAAGTTATTAAAAAAAGTTTGTAATAACATTGACTTTAGTCCTGGGCATAATAATTTGAAAAACAGAACGTATGTCTAAGTCCTTCCATTTGATTCAAGAGATTCAAATGAGTTTTCTTTTTCTATTTTGTTCTTTCAAAACATTTTCTCAAAACAAATTTTACTAAGCAAGTTTTTTGTTTTCTCACCTCTAAAACTGTTTTCAAATTAATGCTACCAAATAGATTTTTTTTTAATGAAAAACAGGCCAAAAATTATTATTGTTTTATATAAAAACCAAAAAATGGGAACAAGTTTTGGAAACGAGTAAATAAAAAATAGCTATCCAAACAAGTTTTTTGGTCATTTGTTCTTCAAAAAAGGTTTTTAAAACCAGGAATCAAAGAGCCCTAAAAATCCACAACTTTAACTGCCTGATGTCAAACATCCAGGAAATAACAACTCATTCTAAATTTCCATCTCAATATTAGGATTCAGCATTACTGAAATAACACCAAGCTGTAATATCCTAATAACATAAAGTTGCCAGTGGGAGTTCAAAGAGTTTAAAACGTCTTCTCCATTCTCCAGTGAGGGAAAAAAATGGAGTCTAGAATTAACGTCATGCCTGACTCATCTTATTCCAATCAGTGTCATCCATTATTAGCAACTATGAAGCACCATCAGCTACAGTTTTTCTTTTTTTTACTCCTAATATCAACTATCATAGACGATTCCAATCAATATAAGCTTTTACGTCTCTCTTAACAAGTAAGAATATAGATATAAGCTACTGGAGGCAAGCATGGCACATATCAGGATTACAACAGAACAAAAACAAAATGTCAATACAAAAGATTGCAAGAGTAATATTCATACCTGAAACTCCAGAAACTAACTCTGTAGCCGATATCTGATAGAACGGAAAACCAGTCTCATTAGCTATAGCATGAGCCAGTGTAGTCTTCCCACATCCTGGTGGTCCATGCAACAAAATCCCAGCTATTGGCCTCACACCTAACCTTCTTGGCAACTGTGGATGATAAAGTGGCACAATAACTTCCATTTTCAACTCCTCCAGTACCTTCTTCATCCCACCCAAATCTTTGAATCTAGGTCCACCCTTCCCCTTAACCTCAAGATCACCACTGCCATTTGAAAACGAATCCTTCAATTGCCTTTTGGATTCCAAATCCGATCTCATCCCACCTCCAGTCCCATCCATAGCATCAATTTTAGTTGCTTTACTATTATTGGCCACCTCGAATTCTACATTTTTCTCTTCCATTTTAGATTTTACTTTCTTTGATTCTGAATATGAAGCCCGCAACATTGTCTTCATCAAGTCAACAGCTGGCTCCACTTTCTCACCATAAATTGCATCCTCTGATGTGGACAGAGCCCCGTCTTCACCATCACTCTCTTTAGATTCTGATGACAATGATGGACTAGAAGTTGAAGCAGAAGAGGTCGATGTATGACCCTGATCCCTCTGCAACTTTTTAAGGTGTAAATTCTCCATTTTTTGCAAATTCTCTTCACTCTCATCAATTTTCTTGCGCCTCTTTCGAGATGCACTCCAACCCTCTTCTTCATCGTCCTTGTCATCTTCTGAGGTGTCAAACTTAAATACGGAAGCACTAGGCTTTTTGTTCAATTGCTTGCTCCCATGCTTAAATGACTCCAAAGCTTCTTGAACAGATCGAGTCAAAATTTGCTGCTTTGTTCGCCGATAATCGGGGTAATTTGAGCGAAGATGGCTCACGATTTCATCGAGAGTTGAATACCTGGATTTGCAAGACTCAACACGACGGCGAAGAATTATATGATTCCTACCCATCTTCATCATTTTGTGAAGCGCCAACTCAAATAAAAGTGAAGCTCCACGAAATCAAGCAGAACAGAAGGAAGGGCCAGGGCGCGCAAGGGACAGAATGAAAAACCGAGGCGATGAAAACGGAACTTGTTGCGATTGAAACGCAGGGATTCATGCGTTTCAACGTGAGCCGTGATTATTATTATTGTTGTTGTTGTTATTATTAAAGTAGTTTAGTGCTTTAGTGGCTTGACAAGTATTTTTTTAATGTTTAATGTTAATAATTTTTCTAATTTTTTGTGCTCTCTCATTTAATTCGAATTAACGTTGAATTCTTAAATATGACGGCAAAAACCAAGTACTATCTTCGATTTTTAATATAAGACTCTATTGACTTTTATGTTAGTTCTAAATATAATATTCTAATCCATTTTGTCTCTCATATTTACTCAATTTTTTTTAAGATAGTCTTTCTAATAATTATAGTTTTAGTCAACATATTTGATTAGTAAGGATATTTTAGAAAAGACAACACATATTTATTACAAATAACTAACTTAACTTTTTTTTTAATTTCCTCAAATTAGTCAATTGGCTCTTATAAATAGAAACGGAGGTAGTATCATTTTAATAATCTGGGGTTTCTTTTTAGAGTAAAATATATTGTCTATTCTTCTGTTTTATTTAAATTACAGAAATCTCCTCTTTATTTTGAAAATATATATAAACTTAACTTGAAATTAAAATGCATATTACACAAACCTTATTTATATATTTAAATTTAAATTTTTATCTATCCAATCTTTAATTGGCTGTTAAATTTGACTTTCAAATTTTTATTTTGACTAAAATATCTCTCCTTAACCTAAATATTATTTAAACATTTATATACATCAAAAAAATAATTTTTGATAAAAAAATATAATTATAATACATGTATTTTCAAACTTCTTAATATGTTATAAAACTTATAAATTTTAATTATATTATAAAATTATATAATTTTAATACTTCGTGACATATTGAACCTTATTTATTTAGATTTTTTAAATGGTTAGAAAATATTTTAAATATATATTTGTTCATCATGTAACATAAATTATCTAAGTTTGTGACATTATATAAATCCTTTAAATTTATAATTCAAAATTTTAAGACAAAAATTTTCATTGATTATATATTTATCCAAAGAATTAATCAATTTTTCATTCAATTTTTTTATGGTTATATTAACTAAATTACTTAATTTTCTGTCCTAATATAATAAAAAAATTAAAAAAAATAACTATTTATGAAAATAAAAAATAAAATTAAGGTAAAGAAAAAAATTGTTAAATTTTTTAAAATAATTTGAACCAAAATTTAGGAATTTAGTATTATGAAGGGTAAATCAGTAAATAAAAAATAGTTCAACATAAATTTTAATTAAAAAATATAATTTTTAGAATATTCTTAACAAAGTTAATGATTTGGATTTTATTGTTAACAACTACCACAGGTTCCTCTGTTTTATTTTGCCAACTAGTATAATTTTTGTCAGATTCTTTCATCATTCATATCAATTTAACTTTTAAATTTGTTTTTTTTGTTAAAGCATAGCTATCCTCTTATTGGAGACGATCCTATTCGAAGTACTGTTGGGCACTAAATGTGGGCACCTCTCCTAGCGGGGATTCGAATCTTGGTTCGTCACGTTGTGAGGAATTAATCCTTTCTGCTAGATCCAACCCCTGTTGGTAGCTTTTAAATTTGTTTTTATATTTTCCGCTTGTTGGGTTTGGCATAGCTGTACTGGCCCATATTTTTGACACTAGTTTGTTTGGTCATTTTTCTCGAGGTTCGTAGTGATCATTGTTACCATTCTTTCTACTTTTGGGCGCTTACTTGAAGTTGATTTTTTATTTATTGATTTTTTTTCCTCGTTCGTTTGTTACTTTATGTTTTTGAGCTTCACAGTTACTTATTTGGAAAAATCCCAAAAAAATCCTTCTAAAATTTCAAAATCTCAAATCAAGAATGACTATAAAAATATGTTGTTATTTACTTTTTTAAATATTATTAATTGTTATTAAAGTGTAGTAAATAAGACTGATTTATAATTTTGAAATTCAAAAGTATTTTTTTGGATTCTCCTCACTTATTTTGATAGCTTAGCTATTGGAGTTTTATTTTAGTCATTTTATTTAATTAATAAAATTGTCTATCACTAAAAAGAAAAAAAAAACTGGTGCAGATGGGATCAAAGCAGTCATGCAAGGCCAATGACTTCTCAAAATCATCCTCGCAATGCCCATACTCTAAATGGGCTTATACTCCTTAGCCCAATCCAATTATACAGGGACATAGGTTAACATATATGGGCTTGATTTATTTTGAAAATCAAAGGGCCAAGGGACCTTTGATACAATTTTTTTTTTAATTTTAAGAATTAAAGATATATAATCAAATTTAAGATATGTTCAAATTCTAATATTCTATTATAATAAATTTGTGTCTGAAAATGTTATAATATTCAACATTTAAGTACCATTTGATATGAAGCATTAAAAATAGGGATAGGGATTAGAATTGAGATTGAGAAAATAGTGTTTAGTATGAGAGATTGATTGTTTTATGGAATTAGAAAAACCCATAATGTGAGATTGAGAAATACCATGGGAGAAGGTGGTGTTTCCCAATCTTACTTTCATAGGTTTGCCTAATTTTATGTAACAAGTAATTATTTATACTAAAGACTTTTTTAATAATTTTTTTAATTACAATCCTATTTCCTATCTCTTATTTTCAATACTTCGTGTCAAATGGGACCTTAGTATCTTCTTTAAGTCTTGTTATATGTTTGACTCTTTATGAATCTGGATGTGATGGGCGCATTAGTTCTTTCTATCGAGTGAAAGATGACAAAAACAAAACAAAATTTAAAATTAAATCTCCATGCTCTTTCTTGAAATTTACGACATGCCTTATATGGATATTTCCTTATAGCAAATTAATTTAAGCATACAGCTTAATAATAAAATGCTACTTTCAATTGTAAATACAAAATCCATTTTCTACTTGTAGTTATGGACACATAAGAACAGAAATATTTTCACCGCAACCTTTTGAAGGATTCTCTGATCACTTAGAGACAAAAGGAGAAAAAGATTTTCAGGACAAGTCTGAATTACATATACTACCTCTAGTTCTAATTATAAGGCTTCGTTTATAATTTACAAACAAGGTCCTATAATTAGGACCAGAGGTAGTACTATATAACTATGTAGAAATAACATTCTTAATCTTCAAATCTTAATAATAAACCCCTCTAAACTTTTAAAAATATTCAATAAGCTCGATCTAAACAATTTTACAGTCTCAAACTTTATTTTGTATGCATAAAACTTTGAGTTATATTTAAATAAACCCCTAAAATTTTAAGTCATTTGCAGATAAACAATAAACAAAACTAATACCTTGTGAGTTATCTGTATAAATATAAAAATTTAGAAAGATTTATTGTAAAATTTCAAAAGTTAGGGAGCTTATTTACATATGACATAAGTTTTGTTTAATTTTTAAAAAAAAAAACTATAATGCTATAAATACTGCCTGGCCGAAAGTTACCCATTTCCATCTTACATTATATAGTATTTTATAGAGCGTCACACTAAATACAAAAACAATATCGAAATCTTTTAAGATTTAACAGGAAATTACCAACAGCTCTTAAAAAAAATTTAATTATTAAAAAGTTTTAATGACAAATAACTAGCTTGAACCTGTTATCACTTTTTACTTTGAAACTTATCAATGCTTGTTCTTCACTTGTTAATAGATTTTAAGGTAATTAAATTCTTTTTTTGGAACTGATTGTAATTCCTCCTAAGATTTAATACTGTCAAGTAATTTTACGTAATACAAAATGTCAAATAGACCTTTGTGTGGCATTTTCATCTATTCCAGCTTTCCTTTTCTGAAAAAAAAAAAAACGTGGTAGATAAAGCTGATACATATTTATTTTACAACACTACAGAAAAGTTATACCCCACAAATTCTATCCTGCAAAAAAAAAAAAAAGAAGAGAAAAGATTTGGTGACAATACTAGCAAATTGTTAAAAAAATGTAATACAGTAGTTACATTACTTTTTGTACTTCAGTATTTTTTTTTCAATAATTGCGTGCTTGGAATATAAAATGAGGATTTCTCCCGACAAGAATATAAAAAACGCCATATATTTGTTTAATGAAAATTATGGAAGATTACTTTATCATATGGTAAATATAATAGAGATAATGAAGGGGAAAAAATCAAAAGGAAAAGGATGGATTAGTTGGGGGAAAAGATTCGCCATTACATGTTGCGTTTTGTTGTTATTTGTGGTTAACTGGGAATTAAGAAAAGATAATGGAGTGTGATTGGACATTAAATTAAAAAAAAAGATTAGTGGTAATCAAAGGCAAGTCCCACTATGCATTATTATTAGAGAGCCTTAATCACATATGTTGATTTGTCAGTGTTTTATAACTTAACAAACACTAAGTAAATTTTTGAATTTTTTTTAATGCTGAGATTGTGAGTTTAAATTTTAATAGAGGATATAGTTTATGCCTGAGTTATAACCACACAAAAAAATTATATTTGTCCCATTTTAAAATTCATATGGTATTTTAGTTTTAAAATATAGAAGTTTAATTATAAATTGTTAAACGCAATTCTTAATGACAAAAACTCTAATTTACAATTAATTTTTTTTAATGATTACTACTTAGCTTGGACTTGTAAAGTTTCTGTTTTGTTTAATTAATAATATATTGGCTCATAAGTCATAACTTTTGAGAGGATTAAATCACCTTTGTTAATTTTCTTAATCTATTTAAATTTAATTTAGTCTAGTAAATAGTAATAAATTATTACTTCTAGTTTTAAATATAGGAACTAGACAACAAATTTATTTTGATATTAAATATAAGATATTGATCTATTTTATTTTTTGAATTGACAATTTTTTCAAATAATATCTCTATTGATTTCTCATAGTAAACGAGTTTTCATTAGATAGTAGTTATAATGCATATGATTAGAAAATAGTATTTTAAAAAAAGACCAATAC